CTTTAGGACCCTTGTTCCTTTGCCTTTCCATAGAGCACCCTAGGGTTTTGCTCTCCATTAACCCAGTTAGACTTAGAATTTCCTCCCCATCTTTGGACCCCTGGCCCCTAAGACTAGAGGGGTCTCCTAGGGATTTTCTTAAAATTTTTAGATGTGTTTTGTTATTTTTGGTAGATTTTACTTTCTGACCTATCTTAGGGTGATTTCAACTCTACCTTTGACATAGTTTACATCTTAGGTGATCCTTGTGCAATGCTTGAGCATCCCATTCTCACCCATATTCATACCCTAGACAGCTTAAGGAACTTGTAAGTGCATTTCCAAGTTCAAACCATGCTCCTAATTAGTTCACAACCTAGGCCTCTTTTGGATCCTTCTTGTGAGAGCCTAATTCCTCCCGTGGAGGAATTCTGTGCATTCCATAAAGAAGTTGAGCCATTGAGGGCTACTCTTTGAAGGTGATAGGATTGGTTGAGTGCCATGGCAAGTTCCTGTGGTTCTTGCTATGCTTCCCATCCTCATTCTCTTCTAATTCTCCAAGTCCTACATTCTTAGGATCCTTCTTATGAGAGCCTAATTCCTCCTGTGGAGGAATTCTGTGCATTCCATAAAGAAGTTGAGCCTTTGAGGATTCAAGTACTTTGTACACACCTTCTTCTCATGTCCTACATTCTTAGGATCCTTCTTGTGAAAGCCTAATTCCTCCTGTGGAGGAATTCTGTGCATTCCATAAGAAGTTTGAGCCTTTGATGGACTCTTGTGCTGATGCACATTGAACATGGTGAGTTCCCTTTGGTTTTCACTACGATTCTCCTTATTCCTTCTTTAGTCCTATGATTTAAGGATCCTATTTGTGAGAGCCTAGTTCTTCTTGTGGAAGAACTCTGTGCATTCCATGAGTGGTAGATCCTTTGAGGATTATCCTTGTATGATGAACTTGGTTGAGTGCCATAGTAAGTTCCTGTGGATCTTATTATGCTTCCCATCATCGTTCTCTTCATTCCTTCCTATTTGTCCTACACTCTTAGGATCCTTCTTGTGAGAGCCTAATTCCTCCTGAGGAGGAATTCTGTGCATTCCATAAGAAGTTTGAGCCTTTGATGGACTCTTGTGCTGATGCACATTGAACATAGTGGGTTCCCTTTGGTTCTCACTATGCTTCTCTTTATTCCAAATCCTGTGATATTAGGATCCTTCTTGTGAGAGCCTAATTCCTCCCGTGGAGGAATTCTATGCATTCCATAAAGAAGTTGAGCCTTTGAGGATTCAAGTACTTTATACACACCTTCTTCTCATGTCCTACATTCTTAGGATCCTTCTTGTGAGAGGATAATTCCTCCTGTGGAGGAATGCTGTGCATTCCATGAGAAGTTTGAGCCTTTGATGGATTCTTGTGCTCATGCACATTGAACATGGTGAGTTCCCTTTAGTTTTCACTATGCTTCTCCTCATTCCTTCCTTAGTCCTATGATTTAAGGATCCCATTTGTGAGAGCCTAGTTCTTCTTGTGGAAGAACTCTGTGCATTCCATGAGTGGATAAACTAGTGTTATGAGTTGCTCTTGTCCATTGGCAACTCTCTGCATCAGATCTATGAACTGAGCCATATAATCTCAGAACTCTTGCAACTCTAACTGTATCTGATCCATAACTCTCTGTTGATTCCCTCTGGTCGAGTATCTATGAAGTGTCTGGTCTTCTATCCTGAAAACTGGTGGAAGAAAACCATACAGAGATAAGGTTAACGGGCCCAAGAACACCTGTGATGCAACATGATAATGCAAAATGAGAGCATGCAAATATGATTCAGGTAAATTCTCCCCTTGATTCTAGTTCCACAAATAAACAAAAGTCAGGAGAAGCAAAAGATAGAACATAAATCCCTTCTCACAAATAAAATGAGAGCAAGAGTCAGCGTACATAACATAATGTTAGAGAATACAACAGGAAACTAATAATGACCCCATCCAATAAGCCTGGTGATGGTCTAAATACAAGATAATAACAATAACAAAAGAGCAGAAGAACAAAGAGAAAACTGCATCAAGTAACTCTCCCTTCAGCCACGGTAGTGAATTTGAAACTCCTCTAACAACTCCCTCGTATCTGGATTTTTAGGCCTTGCAACCAATTACTGAATGAGACACTCCCTTCTGTTGATAACATCCTTCAAATCCTAAGCATAGTCCTCCCAAGCACCCTTTCTGAAAGCATCTTTGAGTCTTGGTTTCTTCAATTCTGCCCTTATCTTGTATTCTTCCAACATTTCCAGAGCTTCTTGTAACTTGCGATCAACTTCATACTGACGAGATGATTCCCCTAAAACTTTTTCATCTTTAATGCAGATGAAAATGCAGATGCAAACAAGGGATCAAGACTGTTGTGCTACTGAGTTGAACCCGAATTCCACTTCGGCAAGAAAATACCAGAACATCAGCACTGAGATACTAGAAACCCAAAAATACCGAGGATCAAAGGTCTACACTGACGAGAAAACCAGAAGATCGGGTTGGTTGAAGGTCAAGTTTCCTGCATAACCCTCCCACTCTCAAAGGTATGGAACTAATCTTTGATAAAGTTCGACATCCTATGCAGGTCGTCAATGTCACAGACTCTCGAGAAACGATGATACCTTCACTATTTCTGGTTTGACATCATGGTTAAACAAGGAGGCCTCACTCAAATGACTTCCCAATGATCGGTCTCCAGAGTCATTAATTCTCAGATCCAACATCCTATCAACTGTCTGAAATGGACTGGAGAGGATGTCTTCAAAGAAAATCTCGTATGAACGCGAATTTCATGAGGACTATTGCATGCCAAACATGCAAGCCCTCACTACTTTCCACACTAATGCTAGGTATGTACTCAAGCCTGGGTATTGGGCTTATCTCTCAATGGAACACCCACCCAACAGCACAACAATAATATGATACTAAAGTGCGGAAAATAAAATGCAAATGCAACAATGTACAGGTACAACACATATACACAAAAATATACACACCCACAAATAAAACACACAAGCACTAGGATTGACTATGGGTTCGATCCCCAGCAGAGTCGTCAGCTGTCGCAACTGTGAATGACTCTGCTGGGGATCTTTGGTTCCCTAAGTGAGTAAGTCCTAGTTCTTGTTTGTTTTCTTTTCTTTGGGTGTTTATCTATATGCTTTGCGTGCTTATTCATTTGCATTTCATTGCATTTTACTCTTGCTGCTCACATTATTCTAGATACTGTTCTACTATTGGGATGAGTTGTACTAAGAGATGAGCCCACTACCCAGACTTGAGTATACACATAGGATTAGAGTAAAGTTGTGTTAACTTGCGTAGCATTTGATATGTATAGTTGGCACAAGATCCTCGTTCATACGAGGTTTTCTTGAGGACACTCTGCCCTGCATGTTATGCAATAGATAGAGTGTTTTCATAGAGAACTTATGACTCTGGAGACCTTTCTTTGGAAATTAGTAGAGGCCTCCTTGAGGAGTAATAATGCCAAATAGGATGTTGTGAATGTATTATTATTTCTCGACTTGAGAGCTCGAGAAGCTGAGGACTGTTTGGAACCTCTGTTCAAGACTAGAACCCACATGTGAGAGGGGATGAGTTTTTGCAGGAAACCTTAACCTTCATCCTGCCCGGTTTACTGGTTTTTTTGTAAAGCCATACTAGTCTGGGAATCACTTTAAAACTCTTTTGTACCCTTAATTGATTATAGTGGAACTACTTCTTTAGTTTGAACAACTCGTGGTTTTACTCTCATATTGAGGGGTTTTTCACATTAAAATATCAATATTCTTTTGTGTTTTTATTTTCTTTGATTTGCAGTCTTATATTTGTTGTTAATTCTTAAGGTTACTACAAGTGTAAGGAATTTTACATCTCCTGCGTATTGTTCTATTATTATGTCTTAATGTTACATCAAAGAGGTTGATTAAAGAATATTTGTTAATTTCTAAAGAGACCGGGTAAAAAAGATATTTATTTAATCTTCAAGAGGATGAGTAAAGAATGTTTGTTGGAGTCCAAAAGCAAAAGAAAATGATACTTTGCCAACTCCTTAAAAAATAAGTTAAATGTGAGTATTTATTCTCACTTTTAAAAATATTATTAAACGTATAAATTTGAATAAGACGTATTATTTTTTTGTTGTGAGAAAAAGTTTAAATAAATACCAAAAATTTACGCACATAACTACGATGTTTTGAGTTTGAATCCTGAATCTAACCAAATAATTTTGACATTTTTAGATGAATTATATTTTACAAAATCAACACAAAAAAAATTTCAAAATTATTCATTGACAAGCATTTATAAGTTAAATTATGCATGACCGAACTTTAAAAAATAATTAGAAAAAAATTATTTAAAACTTTAATGAAATATTTAGTGAAAATGAGTTATTATATAAATCATTAATTTTTAATTTAAAAACTTGTTAGTGTTAATCGCACATGTGTGAGTACTGAGTAATATTAATATTTTAAAAGTATGGAATTCAATTAAAGAATCGTTTTTTAAATGATAAATAATACTAATATATCATAGGTTTAAATACTTAAATCGCCAAATACAAGAAATCCAAAAGATAAAAAAGAGCAACAACATGAAAGAGAGAGAACAAACAATAAAAGCAATCAACAAAAACTACCGACCAAGATATCTCCCTAAAAAATAGATTAATGACTTTACAATGTTGAATTTCGACCTCCATTTGGCTAAAAGTATAAAAAGAATTCTCAATAAGTATTTTGAATTTTGATTTTACTTAAAAAAAATTACTTTTTGGAGTTAGTTAGTTACTATTATTTTGATTTATCTTATCTTGCGAGAGATTCGCTAGGTTTGTTATCACTTAGCAATTATCTTGCTATGATTTTTATGCCTATAAATATTGCATCGCTTTTCGAATCATCAACACAACACCTCACTTTCTATATTGCTTCCTTCTCTGTCATTCGTTATTCTCACTTTAAAAAACCCTAACAGGAAAAAAATGTTTTATGCATACCTATTCAAATACATAATAATTGGAGACACTGGAGTCGAAAAATCATACCTTCAACTTCAATTCACTGACAACCGCTTTCAACCCGTCCACGACGTCACTATCGGTGTGGAATTCGGTGTAAGGATGATCAACATTGATAAGAAACCAATCAAGTTACAAATAGGGGACACGGCGGGTCAAGAATTGTTCAGATCGATAACAAGATCATACTACAGAGGAGCAGCATGTGCATTGCTCGTTTATGATATAACAAGGAGAGAAACATTTGATCACTTGGCTTTTTGGTTAGAAGATGTAAGGCGACATGCAAATTCGAGTATGACCATTATGTTGATCGGAAACAAGTGTGATCTCATTAAGAAGCGCGTTATAAGTATTGAAGAAGGCGAGAAGTTTGCGAAGGAGAATGGTTTGATGTTCATGGAGGTCTCGGCGAAAAGTGCAGAAAACGTTGAAGAGGCGTTCGTGAAAACAGCTGGAAAAATATGTAAAAAGATTAAAGATGGAGAATTTGATGTGTTGAATGTAGTTCTTTTTAAGTGCATATTTAATTGTGAATGTAGTTCTTTTTAAGTGCATATTTAATCGTGATAGAGATTTTTACATATTTAATCGTGAATGTAGAGTATGAATACCTCCTAATTCAAATCTTGGGATCTTACAGACAAAGCTCAAAATCTTCCCATAATCTTTCCTGAAGTCTTCCATAACACTACGATCAGCCACAGAAATGAGACCAAGCGAGGGTCCTAACTCCGGTGTCGGGAACTTGTAGACAACAGTCCTCTTTAAGCTAGGCTCCATATTAACGGTGGATCATATTACTAGAATCAAAGGGAAAATGAACACCTGAAATCATAAATACATGCAAATGTTAAAATGCAGATGCAAACAAGGGATCAAAACTGTTGTGTTGCTGAGTTGAACCCGAATTCCACTTCGGCAAGAAAATACCAGAACATCAGCACTGAGATACTAGAAACCCAAAAATACCGAGGATCAAAGGTCCACACTGACGAGAAAACCAGAAGATCGGGTTGGTTGAAGGTCAAGTTTCCTGCATAACCCTCCCACTCTCACAGGTATGGACCTAATCTTTGATAAAGTTCGACATCCTATACAGGTCGTCAATGTCACAGACTCTCGAGAAACGATGATACGTTCACCATTTCTGGTTTGGCATTATGGTCAAACAAGGAGGCCTCACTCAAATGACTTCCCAATGATCAGTCTCCAGAGTTGTTAATTCTCAGATCCAACATCCTATCAACTGTCTGAAATGGACTAGAGAGGATGTCTTCAAAGAAAATCTCGTCTGAACGTGAATTTCATGAGGACTATTGCATGCCAAACATGCAAGCCCTCACTACTTTCCATACTAATGCTAGGTATGTACTCAAGCCTGGGTATTGGGCTTATTTCTCAATGGAACACCCACCCAACACCACAACAATAGTATGATACTAAAGTGCGGAAAATAAAATGCAAATGCAACAATGTATAGGTACAACACATATACATAAAAATATACACACCCACAAATAAAACACACAAGCACTAGGATTGACTCTGGGTTCGATCCCCAGCAGAGTCGTCAGCTGTCGCAACTGCGAAAAAGGGCTGGCAAACAGACAGAAGAGTTGCCACCAAACGTTATTTATCCCAAAGAGAGGGAAAGGAAGTGATCAAAGAAAACCTAAAAGAAAGGGAAAGACAAGGTCATCGCAACCAAATCTTGGGTTCAGGAGTCGGCTACCCAAGGGGAAGGTATGAGCACCCCTCACGTCCGTTGTACTTAACGGGATCCATGCTTGTTGTCTAATCTATGGGTGAAAACTATCTAAAGGCTACTGTTAAACGGGGGTAAAACAGAAAGAACAGACTCGATAGGACATCGTCGCCCTATGCCTACGTATTCCCTCGTGCAATGGGAAAGTCAGAGTCAACGTAGTTTGGGAAACTACGGGTGATGGGGGGAAGGTTGCTCGCCAAGACATCGTCATCTTGTGCCTACGTATCCTCATCTGGTATGAGAAATCAGAGCAAACATAGTTCGGGAAAACTAGACCACTGGTTGGTTCAAGAGTTTTATGAGTAATGTTACGTTTCAATTCCAGCAGTTAGGGACGATGACTGTTTGCGATAGAACATAAATGTAACATACTCTTACTGAAAATTAGGTTTGAAACAATCCCGAAGGATGAAAAAGTTTGAGTTTTTTGTGTGTGTTTGTTATAAGAAGTGAATTGAATTGGTTTGTAACTCATGTTGCACTAAAGACTATGACATAAGAGCGAATGTGTCGCATATCACCCAAAGGGCATACACTAAACACTCTAGACAATGTGAGAAGATACCCCCCACTCATTATTCCTTATGTACTTAAGGCTCGTAGCATACAACAATTGTTATCCTTTATTAAGTGTCTTAAAGAGTTATGAGATGAGAAGAGAAGACACAAGACTCTAAGGGAAACTGATAAACCCTAATGTTGTCATGCAATATGATCCTAAAGTTGGGATTGAAAAGGGAAATACCTAATTTTATCATGAAAAGGATTGAAAACCTAATGTCTCTCCTACTCCCATCTTAAACAGAGGGACTAGGAATCCTAAGGGATCATGGCAAGAAGCACAAGTAAACACACTGCATAATCAATCACAAATGAGGATGAAATGAAAGACTTAAAAAAGTCAATGCAAGATGATAAAAGGTATGAAATGCAAGCACAAATGAAAACATGAAACAATGCAACAAGACAAACACAAGAATGAAAGACTTAAACAAGTCAAGAGAGATGAGATGAAATGGGATAAGCAAGCTCCTACAACCAAATACCATCAATCATCAAGAGGAAAAGTGCTAAGCAAGGAAACATAATCAAAGAAGTGAGGGAGGAAGGAGAATGGGGCAACCATCAACTCATGATCAACTCAACCAAACACTTACACGTAATCAAATAAAACAAAGCATACCAACAACTCAAAAGAAACCTACTTGTTCATAAACAACCTCAAAGTGAATCAAACATCACCAAAGCATCAAGAACAAGTCCAAGTCCAATAAGGGCAGAAGTGAACCATAAATGGAAGACCTCAAATTCAAGATCAAAAAGGAAGGAAAGCACAAGAATGATCAAGTTCAATTGAAGAACCAAAGTTCAAACAACTATCTCACACTTCAAACAAGTGGAAAGGCATGATCCAAAAGAAACTTGTGGAACAAGGTACACATATGATTGACCTCTAAACATGCAAGGCAGCACCTCAAGAATGTTAACAAGAGCTAACAAGGCTTAAGAGGTGCTCAAGGGATCACTCATGATCATGTCCCAAAATTAGGTAAAGAAAGGTATGCATACCACTGGTGAAAACAACTTGAATTTGAAATATCCACTAAAAATAGAAGAAAGCCCAAATAAATACCAAACAAAATACCTAAATCAAGTTGGACCAATATAAAATTATTATGCAAAATCTCAAGGCAAGAGTCAATTCAAAGCACCACCAATTAAATCAAAGAAGGCAACATGTTCAACTTGTCGAGTATGCATCAAGGGTCCATAAAAAGCCAATGAAAAAAATTGAAAAATGATCATCAAGACCTCAAACCAGCCCTCAAATATACCTCAATCAATCACCTAAGTGTGAGAGGAAATTTGGTCCTTGGGGGTTTTCAAATAAGGGTCAACGATCAAGTTCAAATCAAGGTATAAACCATAAAACACCTTCAATAATTAAATCAATTAAAAATATTAAAAATAAATGAAAAATAAAATAAAAATATGGAAAATAATCTCAACATGTTGAAATATCAGAAAATAATTTTTTGGGAATTTTATAATAGACAAAACTATTTTTAAATGAATTAAATGGAAATAGCAAATAAAAGAGATAAAAATGAAATAAAAATGAAGGAGGGGTGCAAAATCAAAGCCCAAAACCATAACTCAACTCAGCTGAACGAAATGCGTCGTTTCATTAAATTGAGTGGTAAGCCAACTCAGTTTTCAACGTCCACGCATGCAAAGTCAAAGGCCAACACACCAGCCACCTCAATTCAAGCCTGGACGCCAGAGCCCTAGTTTCGGTCATCTTCTCAGGAGAGCTTCATCGGAGCTGGGTGAAAAACATGATAAAAATTAAAACCTATCGTATCAACGTGAAGCTCTTCTCACGTAGAACATGATTCTACCCTCCATTTTTGAAAAAGGTCCATGAATCATAAAGAAAACAGGCCACAAAGATTTTGTGCATAAACTAAAACTCAAGCAAACAGTCATGAAAATGATCCAAACATGGCCTGCATGATGTATGGCTTCAGATGCACTAGTTATGAGCTTAATTAAGTGCCTAGAATGGGAGATTTAAAGTGTGAAAAGTTACCTAACGGAGATGCTCCGTTGGCCCTTCAAACTTGATGCAAGCTTCACTATGATGCTCCTAATCTCTTCCTTGTGTCAGTGTGATGATGAAATGAGAAATGGCTTGAAGAAAATCTCAAGGAGATGACCAGTTCGAAGAAGAAAAAGTTTGGTGTATTTTTGAATGAAACTTTTCTCTCTCCTCAGCTCCTTCTCCTCTCTCCACTTATGGTTCATTTTCAACTTATATATGATGGGTTTATGACACTCATGTAGGCCCATAATGGCTACTTCAAGTGATTTCTAAAATTTGCCAAAAAACTCACCTTAAGCATACCCACGGGTTAGAGCTCTTGTACATCTCTCTTGGGTCAGCAAATGAAATTGAGAATGAGTGGACACCAAGTTTTGAACCATTACCCCTTATGGCATGAAATTAAAAAAAATGGCATGTAAAGTGTACTAATGTTGATTCACTTTGGGTAATCTCTAGCAATACCAATATCTGATGATGATGTGGTGTGAAAAATTTTTAAAAAAAAAGCAATTCATTTGATGACTTGTAATGGAAGGAATTCAAATCATGTTCAAAAATCAACTTTTCAAGCTCACCATGATTCAAATGAACACATAAATCATCAAACATCATGGAATTTGAGTTCAAGAGGATGTTAAGGAAATGTGAAACAACTTTCATGTGGCACAAATTTGGATTAGAGGTCATGAAGTTCATGGAATTGGTCATTGAAATTAAAGACCTAAAACTAGGTTTTCAAAAATACCCTTGCCTTGTGAAGACCATAACTTGAGCTCCACATATGAGAATTATGATTTCTAGGACTTTTTGGAAATCTAAGACAATTAGGAACAACTTTCATATTTTATAAAAAGTGAGGAGGAGCTTGGTTCCTTGTGAAAAATGTCTTAGAAGTGAGCTATCCTCAAGTGCCTCAAAAATCTCTTCATCTGATGACACCAACTTGTTGATACCATAACTTGAGATTTACAATCTCAATGGATGAGTTCTTTTACTCAAAAGAAATCTTGAAATGTGATTAACAAGTCTCATGTTTGTGAGAAAATGAGACAAGACTTGTATCATGGTGAAAGTTGTCCTTGAAGTTAGAGAATAAAATAGGAGATTTTATACTGAGAACCAACTACAACCCTAATTTAGTAACTTGTTAAACTATTGAATCTCTTGGATTAT